GATCTCTTTAAATGATTACTACAAAATGTACGTGCTTTAGGAAACTGTCGCTGGCTGATTTATATATCAGACGTATTTTCCAACAGTTTTTGTTCCTTAAGAATGTGGTTTTCATAATAGAGTTGATATTTTCAAATAATACGAAAAACTTGAAACTGGATTTGCATAAAAGCCGTGTAATTTTTAGTGTACAATTACTACATCACATATGGAAAAACAGTGATAAAAGAAGCAATCAAGTGCATAGCCAGATGAGACCCATTTCCCAAAGATAAGATCATTTTGTCAGGGATAGAAATAATGTTAGAAAGCATCTTTTTCCCTTATGTTTCTAAATTCTGATATTCCAGCCAGCTAATAAAATCAGCCCTTGTGTTTCCTCTAAGAAGACCAAAAGATGGGCTTATAAGCAGGCTAGACAGGATGGAAGGAAGGCAGGAAGGGAGGGAGGAGGGAGGGAGAGAGGAAGGGAGGGAGGGAGGGAGCAAGAGAGTGAAAGAGGGAGGGAGAGAGAAGAAAAGGAAAAGTACAAGGATCTTTAGAGTGTTCCATCTTCCTCAGCAATTTGTGTATTATTGAGCAGGCTTGGAGAAGATGAAGTGCTGTTTATTCTAGAAATATTTTTAAATTGTCAAAATGGCATTTTGTATTAACGACAGAAGATAAAATGCATATGAAATACCTATTAGTCATGATAACATTATTTATTTACCCTAATGCCTGTAATAAAGACAGCAAGTTAGCTACACAGTACTGTTAATCTAAATGAATTGAAGGAGTCACTGTTTTGCACATGTAAAGGATATTCTGAACATACTGTTCATCTAAGATGAAATGTTCCTATCTACACAGTAAGAGATGACTTATCCAATGACAATGCTTAATAAAACATAACCAAGTCACCAGGGCAAATAAGCAGTGCCTACAGGGGAAAGAATTCTTACTCCACACATTGCTAAGAACAACGTAATTAAATAAAACAATGTTATTATTAAAAGGCACAGTATGGTTAGCATTCTAGGCTGTTATCATCAACCTTAATGAAAGCAACCTCGAGAATATTTCAGGTTTCTAAAGCAGAAGGATTCTCCATGTTCATTTTGTGGAGAAAAGATAACCTATATGAGACGACAATACCGAAGCTAGCAACACATTTTATTCAGTTGGCCTTCTAGTTGTGGTTTTGTGCTTTATCCTTGTCTAGGCTAATTTTTAAGCAAAGTAAATGCTTACAGAGACCAGCGCCTGGTAAGGTCCTCTGCACAAATTCCTCAGACGGCTTCCTGAATGGGGCGTGATGGAGAGCATATGATAAAAAAAAAAAAAAAACAAAAAGCACCAAGACAGCTGTCTTTATAATACAGCGTGATTTCAGGAGGTGGAAGCAATATGATTTAGGAATAAAAAATTAACCAGATAATAAGTCTTGACTATCATAGGCTAATAGATCCACAAGTAAATATATGACTCAGATTGTTTATATTTTGTTCGACAACTTCTTATAAATTGTTTTACTTGGGTCATTTTGTTACTGTTACATTTTAGAATATTTATTTCACCAAGAAAATTCTGAGATCTGTACATGCTGCTACTTCATTATATGCAGTATACAGCTTTCTAACATGTTTCAGGCCACCTGGAACAGTGCTCAATGACTGTATTTATAGTTGAAGTATGTCACTTTTTTATTTTACAGAAGTAAGGCTATATGTGCAATACAAATAATCTCTGACTTTTTTTTAATCAGTTACAGTACAACTGGCAGAACATGTTATAACAGAAGCTTTGTTTTCTTCATTTTTTTAATGAGATGAGGTATTATGATTTGTCAGTGTGAAAATGGAAAATATTACCTTGTCTCTTGACTTAGAAATTTTGGCATAAAACAAAGTAATTTTTTTAAAAACCCTCAAATTGCTTTTCCGAGCTGGATACTTAGGAACAATGGTATTGATAGAAAAAAAGATGTTTCTTAGAAAGCAAGGCTGGCTACCTAGGAATTTCATCAGAAATACAATGTCATCACGGCCAGCTAGCCGTGAAAAATACATTAAAATACTTCTAGGGATAATATAGGCGAATTAGGAAGTGAAGAATTCAGATAATCCATAGAAATTGGATCTTTTGAAAATGAACATGCTTTTAAAGTTATACATTCTAATAACAGAAAACTGAACAAGATGTTTTTTATAGAATTTTTGGCAGGTTTTTAAACTGTCAGTCTCTATACTGTATGGTTTATAAAATTTTGAAAAATGATATTTTGATTCAATTTTTAATTCAACTCTGTTGATTCAAAATACCAAATTTTCATAAAAATTCATGGATTCTATGTATACGATGCATGAAAAGTTTGTCATTGTAATACAGACATTATGAAGTAGAAAGAGGCATTATCTAATGATTTAAATCTAAACAACAACAAAACATCCCTCCAGAGTAGGAACCTGGGAGAAGAATCAACTTCATGGGCATATGATCAGTGCAAGCACACAAGACCCCACACTTAGAAGTGCCATGCACAGAGAATAACCCTCCAAAGAGCTTGGCTTAATGCTCTGCTCTTGCTGTCTGGAAATTCTTAATAATATTTGAATAAGGTGTCCCATGTTTTCATTTTGCATTGGGCCCCACAATTATGTAGTCACTCCTGCCTGGGAGCCTATACTTCCTAATAACTGCCTCCAACCTGTATATTGCTGTGCTTTTGAAGATGCTAACTGAGGTTTTATTTCTGAGGTGAACATTTGCAAGACTTGTATGGCTTAGCCCTCCCCATCCTCCCACTAAACACTTTATTTCAATTTGTCATCATCTTGTCTTTCAAGGCTCTGCTAAGGAGAAGGAAGAATGGAGATTTTGCAAAGTGTGGGGAATGCTACAGCACCTAGTCTGCAAATCAGAGTGTTCTCATGCTCTTTCTTCTTCAACATGCCCATTTAAAATACTACTCAAGAAGTGAACTAGTCCAAAGATTATTTCTCACAATTACCAATGGAACTATTCCTACTTTCTATTTCATCTTTTTCCAAAAGCATTTGAAGTCATCACAAATTTAAACATAGTTTAAAATAAAACAAGAATAAAAACAAAATACCACTATTAATCAAAAAAAAAAAAAAAAAGCGGAGTAGATGTAACTAGGTATCTAAAATAAGGCCATGTGTTGCAAATAGTCATTCACTGAATTTAGCTTTAATATTATCAGTTAAAAAAAAAAACTTTTAAAACAAAATAAAGCTAGCAAAGTGATCATTAGCAATTGATCTTTTCAAACAACATTAAAATCCATATGGAAACTCAAAATTCTATAAGATGAACAAATATTTTTTCAAATGTGCAATTTTGCACTGTAATTTTATGCTAGTTAACACAGACGGTCTCTGTTCGCTTGCCAACCTCACCCTCACCCTGACCCCGGGTATTTTTTGTAAGCACGCTATGCTAATTTTTTTTACATGTTGCTGTAAAAAAATTAGCATAGCGCTCTTATAAAAATACCTCTGGGGGCTGTTGGCAAACAAATATAGACAGCGCTATTTTTGTAAAAATACAGTATTCCTTAATAAAAGCAGAAATCATTGAATTTTGTCAAAGAATGTCCAGCTGTTATACTTTTTGATCATTTAGCTCGATACAGTGATAGATGTTAGAGAATCACATCGTGAGAATAGATGGCTAGATAAAACACAGGGCATTTTTAGGGCAGTGAAACTATTCTGTATGATACTGGAAGAGGCTGCATAAGCGCAATTACCGCCATTGCTTCCCACCATTACTAGCCCCCGCTTTTCCTCATGGTATTTTCTTTGTTTTCCTTCTTTCTCCCTCCTCCTATTCCGGTAACATTGACTAAAGTTTCTCCTTGGAGGGTGGCAGAACACATTGATAACCCTCAAGGACTAGGATTAACTCATCTGCAATGTGACAATCGTGACTAACGGTGCCAGATAAATTTCAAGGATTGCCAGTAAGAAGTGAAATCATCTGGGACATGAGAAACGTGACCACCGTGAAGAGAAACTATAATCCTGTCCAGATAAAACCTTCGGCCAGTCTCCAGTAAAGGAGACAGGTCTTTTGGAGGAGCTCATTCCCCTCTGTCTCCTATATATCGATATACAATAAAACCCTCTTGCTGCCCACCTCACCCCTGTCTCAGTATTGGCTTTTGCTGCAGGCTGCTCAAATCCATGATTTTCGGTAACAATAATATAATGGTGGACACGTGACATTATGCATTTGTCAAAAGCTATAGAATTATTCAACAGAAAGGGTGAACCCTAATGTAAACTATGGACTTAAGTTAATAATAATGGATCGATATTGGTTCATCAGATGTAACAAATGTACCATACTAATGCAAGATGTTACTAATAGGAGACAGTGTGTGCAGGGGGGTGCGAAGGCATCTGGGACTGTCTGTAGTTTCTGTGCATTTTTTTCTATAATCCTAAAATGTTCTGAAAACTAGAGCATATTAAAAAAAATTGAGAGGGTAGTGAGATTGTTTAGTAGATATTATCTCTTTATATTGATCGAATTTAGGTTCACTTTTGGTCACTTCTTGAGCGCATTGAGTGTATATTTAAGTGCTTCAATAAGTCCTTGTATTTGGAAGTTCTATGCCATTGTTCTTTCACCTTTGATGTTACACTTTTCATAAACAAACTCTGAAAAATCAATGGAGGAGGCTGAAACCCAATAACAATGAAGTAGTTTGTCAGGCAGAGAAAGTCATTTTCTTAGGAAGTGAATATGTAGCCTGCGTGGATGGATTGGGTCTTTATTAGTTGTTATTTTGCCCTTACGGAGATAAGGCTGAGGTGAGGAGGCTATTTTGGTCAATAAGTTGATTACTTTTAAAGATCCTTGAGTTAAATATATTGCTTCAGAATGGTCCATTTTATCACCTCAAACAAGTTCTATGAGAGGAGTCAAGGATATTACAGATGAAAATAACTACTTTCTAAATACTGCCCAATCCTTTTCATACTTACACTCAGGCTGAGTGGCCACCTTGATGGGTTGAGAACTCTCCCCTGGCCCCCATTCATTACAGGCCACAACTCGGAAGGTGTACATGGCTTCTGGCTTCAGGTTTCCCACAGAAAGCTGAAGGGACCCAGGCTGGGATGTATTCAACGCTCGTTCCCTAGGAAATAAAAGTTGGAGAAAAAATTATTTCAAAGTGAATACTGAAATAAAATTTGCAGGGAAAGATTATTTCAAAATAAATACTTTTAGCCAAAACTTTCATTTCATATACAAGAGTAGTGAGGTGACACAAAGGTTGCTAACTCATTTAATTTTAGCCTGGGACATAATTCAAGACCTTTGAGACTTACACTATGGGAAATAAACTGACTGGAAGGACTAAAAGCAAATGTTGCAAGGACTCTGGGGAGTTCAAGTTTCTGTCATCCTCGATGAAACTTGCAAATTAGTCTTTTCCCTTAACAATTAACAATTTAGAATTCAAAACTCATGACAAAGAGCTATTAAAATAAGAAGAAACATCTGGAATGTAGACAGGAAGATGCATTTCATAAACATCCGGCTAACGACAAAAATCAAGGTTTCAATTATTCTACAAATCGGTCTTTGTCAGTATTGCCAACAAATGCGTTTATGCATTTTCTTTTATTGTAGGGAAAGGAAAACGCAGATGCTAAGTGTTGATATGTATGGGAGCGCGGAGCTCCTGTGGTTACTATAAGTGCTATTAGTGAAAGAAGAAGATTCCCTTCTGCATGAGAAGAAACAGCAACACATGTCTACTTGCTTCCTTGTTCTTCAGGCCACATCTACTTGGGTTCAATATCTTTACCAATTAAAAACTTCCCCAGTGGTTGCAAACAAATGGATGGATCTTTTGATCATGGTGGGATTTACAGTACATAAAGAGAAGACAAACTCTATGGATGTGGATGCTGACATTTAGGAGACAAGAAGTACTATTCTTTTGATTCTAGACATTTATATGATATCCTCATCGGTCCTTAACGTATGACTGATTGAACTTGGTGAAGAAGGAAACTCCTTTTAAGCTACTCAACTGATTCTTAAGGTTTCTATTTCTAGATAATATCTATTGCCTCTCAGTGGAATTGTATGTACATTTTAATAATGCCTTTCTTTCTTTCGAGATATTTAAAGTGAAATCTATTTTTCTGCCAGGACAAGCTAGACTACCATGAAGAAAAATAAGAACAAAATTTCATTAATATGACTGAATGACAGAGATTGTTTGGCTCATCCCCAAAACCACTTCTTCTTCATGTGCTAGACTATATTTCCCAGCCTCCTTGAGTTGAGATGGGGGTCATGTGACTGATTCTAACCAATGATTGGGAGTGAAAGTGATGTGTGGCCATTCCTGGCATGGCCTAGAAAAATCTCACAAGTGGAATCTTCCATGTTCTCTCTCTCCATCTGTAGGTTTGAGGCAAGCACTCATGGAAAACTTGGGAGCCATATATTGATGACAGAGAAACTAAAATTTGCAAGAATTCTGACAAGAGCTTGGAGAAGAATTACCTGTCAATCAGTATCACCTTTTTTTATACTTTACAGAGTCAGGAGTAATGTTCCATAGTTTTGAGCCACACACACGTGTGCGCAGTCCCCAGGTTATGAACTTATGACTTATATACAACCCTTAGTTATGAACCAACCCCTGAAAAGCCTATTGAATTAAAAATTCAAGGCACATACAATGGTTAGTAATAACAAATGGGCACTACTTTTTGACACACATCAAAACATTATTATTACTGTATCATTATGTTAAAGATGTTTTAGTGTATCTGGAAGTGTTTCTTTAATGTTTTTTATGCATAGAAAGATACAGGTATCCCCCTCTTTTGGAAAGCCCTCTTCATGCCACTTCTCTTTTAAGAAAGACCTATATTACTACCTGTTTTAGCTAACTGAGAGAAATTCAAAGAGGATTTTGACCTTTATGAAAAAAGGCAAAAAGTGAAATAGGGTTTAGTGTTTGTTGTGCAAGCAGCCATTAAAGAGGCAGCATTCACCCTAGCAGCGGGAGTGAGGCAGCTCCCACCTTGGGCCTCAGGGCCTTCTGGGGCTCTCTGAGGATGGGAAAAGAGCAGCGTCACGGGGTCTCCAACCAGCCCTCCCTGCCCAGTGACCACCTCCTTTCTTCCTGCACATCCCTTCTCCACTGTGCTACTTTTGTCCACCCCTCCTTTCTCCAGGCTCCTGGTGGGGCATGATCCACAGTCTCCAGCCTCCCATAGAGCCTGGGCAGGCAAGCCAGGGACTTGTCTCAGTCCTCTCTCTCTAGAATAGGGAGACTGCAGCAGAGGTACCCCAGAACCAAAGCCAATTACCTCCCCGCAGTGTGTGCCATCTGCCGCCTGTCAGCCTCTCTCTTTGAGCCTTGATCACAGGCCCCAGTGAGGGTGGAGGGAGAGGCTGGTTCAGCCCCTCCTTCCTGGCTTCTTCCCAGGTGCCTGGAAGCCTCTGCTCTCCTGCCTCGCCCCCTCTCCATCTAGCTCAGGACATTCCTGGACACTTTCTGATGCATGAGCTGGGGAGGGTGGTGACATGGGGGTGAGGGATGGTAGCCCTAACCCTAGAAGAGGTGGGTAAGGAGCCCTGGTGGTGTAGTGTTTAAGAGCTAGGCTGCTAACGGAAAGGTCAGTGGTTCAAACCTACCAGCCCCTACGCAGAGAAAGATGTGGCAGTCTGCTTCCCTAAAGACCATAGTGTTGGAAGCCCCGTGGGGGAAGTTCTACTCTGTCCTATAGGGTCACTATGAGCCAGAATCAACTTGATAGCAACAGGTTTTTTTAATATATTAGGGCTTATTTGTTAGATAAGTTAGCATTACCTTAACCAGTACTGGTAGTAATTATAAAATGCACCATATATGAATCTGGATAGATCCTGGGGTTTAGGGATTGCTTTAGGACTACAGTGTCAAGTTGACGGAAGGCCGAATTCTGTCATCTAAAACGGAAGGGGTCTGGTGGGATTCAAAAGTAACCTATAGTAGGCAACGGCAAGAGACATCAGCTAATGCTCCCATACACTACATATAGCACTGCTATCTTCTACAAAACTAAGATTATTGAGACCAATGAGTTGTTTTTTAAAAGAAAATCCTCATGATTTAAACCCACTAGTTAACTACAGTTGGCTTGCAGCAGTTCACTGAGATTAAGAGCATTGGTGTAGGAACTTTTATATCATATTTATTTATTTTATTTTTGCAAAAGAACTTTTATAAGCATTATCTTATATGGCCCTTTGGTGTGGATGGGGTGGTTTTATTATCCTTATTTTACAGATGCAAAAGTGAGATTTACAGAGACAAAATGATTTTTTCAAGGATTCATTGTTAGTGGGTGTCTTAGTCATCTAGTGCTGCTATAACAGAAATACCACAAGTGGATGGCTTCAACAAAGAGAAATTTATTCTCTCATAGACTAGTAGGTTACTAGTCCAAATTCAGGGCATCAGCTACAGGAGAAGGCTTTCTCTGTCAGCTCTGGAGGAAGGTCCTTGTCATCAGTCTTCCCTTGTTCTGGGAGCACCTCAGTGCAGGAACCTCAGGCCCAAAGGACACACTCTACTCCCGGCACTGCTTTCTTGGTGGTATGAGGTCCCCCGTCTCTCTGTTTGCTTCTCACTTTTATGTCTCAAAAGAGATTGGCTTAAGACACTATCTAATCTTGTAGATTTCATCAATATAACTGCCACTAATCCATCTTATTACATCATAGTGATAGGATTTACAACACATAGGGAAATCACATCAGATTACAAAATGGTAGACAATCATTCAATACTGGGAATCATGACCTAGCCAAGTTGACGGATATTTTTGGGGGACACAATTCAATCCATGACACTGGGTATCAAAGTTAAGAAAGAAATTTGGCCCTTAAACCTCTAACCTTTCAACAATAATGGGAAAAGGAGGAGTCTATTCGGATCATGCACACTAAGGATAGAAGACACGTCCAGAGGGGAGGAAGAGACAATGGGTATCTGGAAACTACAGTGAGGATAATTTTTCTCATCAGCTGCTATGAATCAGTTCATGATTATCTTTTCCAGACACTCAAGCAACATAGTTGTCATCAAAGGTCAGATTAGGACACCAAGACTTTTTAGGCATCTATGGTGGTGCCAGGAGCCCTGGTGGCACAGTGTTCAAGAGCTCAGCTACTAACCAAAAGGTTGGCAGTTCAAATCTACCAGTCACTCCTTGGAAACTCTATGGGGCAGTTCTACTCTGTCCTACAGGGTTACTATTAGTTGGAATTGACTCGAGGGCAGTGGGATAAGGAAAGGGAGCTTTTATAATGGACTTCATTCTTCTAACTATAGATGATTCAGATGAAATAACTGTTCCAGGACATGGTGTCATAACCCATTGAACAGGCATTCTTCAAAGGAAAAAAAAAAGGCAAGAAAATATGGGTATGTCTTATTTTAACCCTTTCATTCTTACAGGTACCTCTAGGTACCAAGTACTTTTTCTGCCTCTGAAGGTTTATTGGGTAGCTGCTGCGCCATTGGCAATGCATGCTGCTGCAAGCAGGGGGCTTTATGACTGAAACCAAAGAAACAAGCGTGTGCCGCAAATTACTGTTTCTACAGGGTATTGAACGAGGTGTCTGAATTTTGGGTAGAAAAAAATTGAAATTTTGAAGATTTTTATTTGTTACACATATGTACCAACAGATACTGGTGGGGACTGTGGGATATAATTAGTGGTACTTCATATGTGCCACTAAACACTTAGGGTGGGCTTGTGGGAGGGGGCAAGAAAAAAAAATCCATAGCACCTACCAAAACTTCATACACACTCCATGATTCAGAATGCTTCCATTAATTAAAACACATGGTATCAACACAAAATTCAAAGCAGAAAATAATTGGCTCAGAAAAGGGTTAAATGAACCCAGGTAAGCATGCCCAAGACTATATAATAAGAGCATTACTTACATACAAAAGAGGATACTATACATTATAAGTGAGAAGGGAGTTTGAAGATCCTATAATATCTATCAGCCTCCAAACTCTACCCCCAATTAATATTAGTCACAAGAAAAATTCTGTTCTTTGATGTGGGCAATTGATAGTTTCACAATTTTACATGGAGTGGGAACAAAAGC